AAAGTAACCGCAAAAAGGACACAATTTCCTTTAACCCTTGCATGGGGTGTTACCATTCATAAAGCCCAGGGTAGAACTGTTGATAATCTTGTGATATCAATGAAAAGAACATTCAAAGCTGGCCAAATGTATACTGGATTAAACAGGGTTAAAACTAAAGAAGGTCTTTACATTTTATGTGAATTTCAATCATCAAAGATCACCTCTGACCCCATGACAGTCAAAGAAATGGAGAGAATTTGAAAAGATAAGTTTAAACTGAGTATTCCATGTTATGTTACAGCACCATCAGAGAGTTTCTTTAAAATCAGTGTACTTAATATTAATTCACTCTGTCATTACCTCCAGTGCCTTTCAGTGGACCAGTACATCAGCACCGGTGACATTGTAGCATTGTCTGAAACCTGGCTTTACTCAAAAGTATCAACTGAAAGTCTTGAACTTAGTTCAGAGTACCATCTGTATAGTCAAATTATTCTGTTCAAAACAAAAGACCACAATGCGGAGTAGCAACCTATGTGAAGAAGTCATTTCATGTTGTATCAGAATTGCATTGCGAAGGTGTCAATTTGCAGTACCAGTCTCTTGTGTTGTCCTGTAGGATGAATCCAAGTAAACGTCTCATACTTATTCTCCTGTATGTTCCACCAAATACACAAAATGCGTTGTCCTCAAGCAGCTTGACAGACTAATCAGTCACACTCCTACAGATGCTGCCCATACTATAATATGTGGTGACTTCAACTTGAAGTTGACAGATCCTAAAGCCAAATAATTAAATGAATTGTTTCGGTACCACGGATTTATTGATTACAGTCAGTCACAAACTCGCAGAAAAGGAGGCTCACTTGACCGTATTTTCATCAATAAACATGCTGATGAATCAGAAATTACAAATGTGATTCCAATTTATTATTCAGACCATTTCGATATCCATATGGCTGTGCCTTGGATGAAACTTTTTTTAAATATGATGCCATGGACCAGAGGAAAATGTGTGTGATAGAACCTTTTGAAAAACGTGAATAATTTCATAATAGATTTATGTTCATAGTACATATCATATGATCATGTGAAAGCAAACACAACATATTTCTGATAAGATGCTTTGGTTCCTATGTTTTGCTACTTTCTGGATACACTTTAATGATGATAAAAAGATTAACCTTAAATGAAAATAAATTCTTAGTACAATATTTCTTTAACTGAACTTGTGTATATTCACATATGAGCATAAATTCACAACAGAGCGGGGGTATTACTAGTGAGCATTCACTCAGAGATTTCTTGTTTATTTTAAGATGGTCTGACTTATCAATTTCTCTCCAATCCACAACATATCAGGGATTCTGACTTACCTTTGGACATTATAAAACCTACAAGTTTCTCTGAAATACCGCCATGGAAATTAATTAAACCAAATGTAGACACATCTTTCACTGAATTTAAGAAATCAGAAACCAATGCTCTTATTTTTAAACAGAAATTAGTCGAAATAAAACAATCTAAAAGTTCTACAGTCGAAATTTATACAGATGGTTCTAAAGACAAAAATAAAGTAGCAGCGGCTGCAGTGAATAAAAATAATGTTTTTTCTTTAAGGCTTCCAAATGAAGCTACAATATTTATAGCAGAGGCAAAAGCCATACAGCTTGCATTTGAATATATTAAATCTTCTAATGACAACTCTTTTACAATATTTTCGGACTCGCTTTCTTGCTTGCAATCTATACAAAATATGAATATCGATCAACCATACATTTTAGATATATTAGTTCAGTTCTATCATTTCACTCAACAAGGTAAAGTTGTTGACTTTTGTTGGATTCCAAGTCATATTGGCATCATTGGAAACACTAAGGCTGATAGTGCTGCAAAATTGGCACTTCAGTACGAAATTATCATTTTTAAGATTCCTTATACTGACCTAAAATATATTGTGAAACTTTATGTAAATTCTCTTTGGCAGATATATTGGGAATTTGTGATACAAGTAAACTATATGCAATAGAAAACAAAGTTAACATATCATCTAACTTCGGCCTGAAACGTAGGACGAAGTGATTATTTCAAGAATACGTATAGGTCATTCTAAAATAACACATGCATACTTATTAAATCGAGAACTTCAGCCAGAATGTATATCCTGTGACTGTCCGCTTACTATAAATCATATTCTTTTAGAATGTTCTGATTTTTCACCTATTCGAAGTAGACTTTTCAATAATGTACGAACGATGCGTGAACTGTTTACAAATGTTAATGTTAATACAATTTTAGATTATTTACATGAAACTGATTTTTACAGTAAAATCTAAAGATACACAATGTAATTAATTTTTTGATAAACACAGAGAGAGTTTTATTTCAAACTTTTAAAAATATTTTTAAATTTTTAAGTCCGTCGGATGGGACGTTAAATGATGCCCCGTGTCAAGGATTGCAACCCCCTTGGCACGCAAAGGATCGTTTTTCTGGTTTTCGGAAAAGAGTAGGCTCACTGGGGCCGCCAGAGAAACCAAAAATCTTTCGAAACCGATCATATAGAATTAATGTTCCGCCGAAATATGGCTGAAATATTGCCGACTCGGCGTTAAACCCTAATCAATCAATCCAATCCACAATGTTTTTTACTGATTTATTGTTTTGTTTCCGACTGATCTAAACCATGTGATTCATAAACAGTAAGAAAAAAACATCTTTCCTCAATCATCCAATTAAACGAAGGTACAAAATTTACACCTTAAAATAACAGTAAAAATTGTGTTTGAAGAAAGGGCATGTTCTTCCTGATACTCCGTGCCTGACTTATAAGTTTTATAAGTTGGTAAGCAAATAAATTATCAAAGAAGAAATTAAATTCATGAATTATTGGAATGTTTAAAACGTGATGCATGTTTATTATTTTGCAGCACACTATAAAATAAAATGTTTCCATCTGGTCTCTTTATCTTACTGTAAATCTTTATCTTACTGTAAATGAATTGCCCGTCAAACAGAGAATGCAAACTGAAAATATGATTTTATATAGACTTTGGTTTGGGGAATCAAAACCATTTATGGGTGGATTTACAGAGCCTCTAGTTCATACACTGAAGATCTGGAAACAAATGGAACGGATTTCACCATTAAAGGCCAAATTGGCAATAGCAAATCATCTTTGATTGTGGTTCTGCTGATTTACCAGCAAAGAGTTTAGTCATGAATTGCAACCAGTTTAATGGGCAGTATAGCTGTTTAAGATGTCTGCATTCAGGAGAAACCTTTAGGACTGCTAAAGGGGGTACAGTGCGGACATTTCTTTATGACCGCTCTAAGCCACAACAAAGAAAGAGAACTGCACATGCGCTAATGATACTGTTGAAGCTGTTAACAGTAAAAGTGTAGTGATTGAACTAAAGGGACTGTCTCTTTTAATGACCCTTCAGTATTATGACTTTGTCTTCCAGCATTGATTATATGGATGGAATGATACTTGGTCTCACAGAAGTTTTGATAAACAGTAAAGACTTGTTTTCAATTTCATCCAACATATCGATTATTGATTGATCGCCTGAAAAGAATTAAACCACCATCTTACATAACTAGAGTACCTAGAACAATTTTAATTCACATCAAATATTGGAAAGCATCAGAATTGAGACCATGGTTCTTCTTTTATTCCCTTCCGATTCAATGTGACATTCTCGAGAAAAATGTTTCTTTGCTTCTATTGTGGAAGGTTTATCTTTTGTGCGCTGATTGTATTACACCCGAAGATTTGGAGAAGAATGAGAATGTGCTTTCATACTTTGTACACATATTCAGGTCAATGTATGGAGAAAGATGCTCGACACTTAACATACACTCCCTTATGCATTTGCCTAAATGTTTGGAGGACTTTGGTCCATTATGGGTGTATTCCTGCTTCCCGTATGAAAATGCAAATGCTCAGGTATGTTAAGGAAGAGATGGAAAATGCGGTCTTTGTACCTTCTTAATACGTATTATTTTTTAAAAAATCTTTGTAACAGAGTAACTGTATACATGTAGGAAAGATAATATAGATATCCATAATGGATAGGTTTGTGTCGTTCTCAGTGCCAGTTACATCGCATGTATCAGCTGTGTGTCACATGACTGGTATAAAAATATAATTGTTCAGCTGAATATAGAAAATGACACTAGTGCAAGGACGTACGCATGTTTTTGGAGAAAAAAAAGATACATATTAAAAAGGTTTACATCGGCTTCCCGAAAAGTGATGGGAACTAGTTTGAGTTGTTTCGGAAATACTCGCATTTTAGAATCAGCTCCCAGCATTTCCCAAATATACATGGTATAAGCAATTGATATTCCATATCCCAGCTCAAACAGTCTAGTCTCTTGCACTTTTGAGGTTAATCAGAAATACACTTATCGTGTTAGAGATATTCTTTACATTTTCTTCGTTGTGAAGCTCCATAGCACCTAGATAAATTAATAATCTACATAATTGTTTTAAACCAATGGATCAACTCCTCTGGATCATTTGTACTGCGCCAATTCAAGGCTAGTGACGTCATTTGTGACACAAGATTTGTTTTTAATTACTTGGCAGTATTGCTATCAAATGTGATTTTGATGAAGGGGGAATGATGTGCAATTCCAACAAGAAAACTAATTACACATTAAAAAATTGTTTTGCCATTTAACATTTTCATTACTTGTGGATTTAAATGTTTACAATACTTCGTTTCCGGGATGTATCGCTCTTATTGCTCGGAGGTAGAAAAGGGTCGTGCGATCATGTGACTTGTAAAAAATCTAGACACTTTTCATGGCGCGACTTTACGACGCAATGTCAACAACAACACGAAAACAAAAGCCGTCCACAAATTATTGGCGTGTTGTCCCAGAGTGTACATCGGACAGCAGAAAAAGAAAGCTTATAGGAAAATACCCATGGATGGATGGTATTGTATTTATTCCATTTCCAACTAAAAAAAAAGAATCCAAAGTTGCGTCAGAAATGGGTGGAAATGATAAGGAGGCCTCTTGACTACGATCCGTTACCTCATCATCGAGTGTGCTCCAGGCATTTTATTGACAGCCACAATGTCCCTGAATTATTTCCATGGAACAATTATAAAGTTTTTACACCAAGACGCAGTGCAGTTTCAATTACAAAAAGAGAGGCTGACCTGACAGTGAACCCCACGTCATCCATGTCCATCTTTGAGCATAATGAGGAAATATCAGAATTACCTACGCTCGTAGAGGGTTTTTATTGAGAACTCTATATATTGTCTTTTGTCTAAACTCAGACTGAAAATCTCCACAATGATCTGTTTCAAAAGCCTAAATTTCCAGAAGCAAGTCCATACATTTTTTTTTTTTACTTTTTTTAATATTACATATTTTTACATACTAATTTAAAATATACAATTTAGAAATTAAACAAAACAATACAAAAGCACAAATTATGCTTTTGTATTGTAATCTTATCAACAATAATGTAAATGTTATGAATACTATAATATCCTACTTGTTTTTAACTTCAACGCAAAATGCATGGATACAAGTATGTCACTATCACATGACATGTCTCTAGAGTGTGAATAAAATCAACAGTATTCCATTGGTAGGCCCAAAGTTTAAAAAATGATTTTTTTTTATCATAGACACACTATCAGAAGAGGTAACTAAGTGTGACAGCACTTTGTTTATTGATGATGGTGCTGGGTCTAGAGTTCTTCCAGTTGCCAGTTGCATCAATGTTACAACATCAAGGAGTTATTCTAAAGAAAAAACAGGTATGTGTTGTAGCCACAGAACTGTAGCTCTCTAGGACAGATATAATAGTGTGACAGCAGGTATTTTCTGGTGTGTCTGAATTTTCTTTTCCCAGAGAGCCACAGTTCTGCATCTAATACAATGTTATATTTTGAAGACGAGCAAATAAGTGAATTGCATAGCCGCATTATGCAGCAAAACATTCAATTAATACATAGTGTAGATTAGTATATCATTCAAACAAGTGATTTAAACTATGATTCTCCATGTTCTTGTCATTGCAAAGAATGTGCAAGTATCAAGAGGGTGTATTATTTATACTACATTTAAAAGAATGATTTCTGGACCTATGTAAATTGGCCAGTATTTAAATAGCTGCCATCATTCCTGTTAAAATACATGTACTCAATTCAACATTTAATATTTTCAGATCTACCCAGCTATCAGCAATTGCTTGAACACAGCTACAGCGTAGCGTCTACAGGTACTATGAAGTCCATGGGGTGTGATTCATTGTTTACTGACCCTGGCATACAGACAGAGATGAGCCTCGCAAGTATCAATGACATTTTCTCAGAAAATGAAGAGCTGAAGAAAATAATTGATGATAAAGATACTTTATTTAAAGACATTTTCTTAGAAAAATGTACCAAGAGTAATGATTCAGTTAGAAAGTTTACAGGATTACCAAGCTTAAAAATCTTCAACACAATTAAAGATGCTGTAGTCAATTTTGATATCAATATTAAGTATTGGACAGGAAGTGAGAGTGAGACAGAGAAGCGTTATCAAAATCAGGGGAAAAAACCTGGACATACCAGGAAACTTTCACGATCAGATGAATTCATTTTAACATTGGTACGCTTAAGGTTAGCTCTGCCTGTCTTTGTCATGTCACAACTTTTTGGGGTTTCATGCTCAAGGGTTTCATCCATCTTTACAACATGGATGTTTTGCTTGTATTATATTTTCAAAGACTGTATCTTATGGCCTTCTCGAGACATTGTTAAAAAGTTCATGCCCAAATCCTTCAGACAGAGTTACCCTCGGACGAGGGCTATTATTGATTGCTCTGAGATATTTATTCAAAGGCCTAAAAATCCAACTGTCAATGCTAGGACTTACAGCACTTACAAATCTCATAATACTTTTAAATTTCTTGTAAGCATCACTCCTAATGGTGCATTCAATTTTTTTTCTGAAATCTGGGGTGGCAATTCCTCTGATAGTTACATAACTGAGCATATTGGATTTTTAGACCTTTTATCTGCTTCTGATGAAATAATGGCGGATAGGGTTCACAATTAGAGACCTCCTTACAGAGCGAAAAGCATATTTAACTATCCCACCGTTTACACGCAAATGTAACTGGGGAAAGGGGAAATATCTGTGTGCCAGCGACATTAAAAAAACAAGGAAAATAGCAAATCTCAGAATACACGTTGAAAGAGCAATTGGACGCTTAAAAACATTCAAACTTATTTCACAAACCATACCATGGGACATGAAATCACTGGTTCATCCTATGGTCATTGTTGCAGCATTCTTCTGTAATTTACATCGACCTCTAGTAAATCTTAAGAAAATGGCTTGTTTATTTATTCACAGATTTTTATTTGAAGTAAATTGGCTGAAGTTACTGGGCATTGAAGTTGGAAAATGAAATTTATTTATACTTGTAATATATCATACAAGGCTGGCAATAAATTATATATATTTTTCTTCCTGTTATACATTATATAAACATGAGAAATAATTGCCATAGAGCTTGAAACATTATAATAGTAGTTTTGACTTCTCTGTGATGAATGCAAAATTTCATGTTTTTAAAAAAAAATAAAGAAAATACAGTCTTGTTTCAAAATTTTATGTGTCTCAATTACATTAATTTCACTTCGTCATTCACAAGATGAACATAATAAATGTTTTCACTAGCAATATCCTTAGTATACTTGTGCTGGTGTGTGTATGTGCACTTGATCTTCACCACAACATAGACATTTCACATATCCATCTGGGGAAGAAGCTATAATAGGACATGCAGGAGAAATTGACAAACCTGCCTTTGAAATTTCTGCTTTCTGGTGAGATTTGATGTATTGTTCCGTATACTGGTTTCGAGCAACACCTTCCATTGATTTTCCATAATCTGTGGCTTGTGTAGAGAAAAAGGTGGCAGAACTTTGAATTTTCTTTACTATATAGTTATTTTCATTCAGTCTCTCCATATTGCATTTCAGAACAGATCCCATTATTGATGCCGTAATTCTACCCTTTCGATATTCATGCCACATTGGGTCATCACTCTGTTCCTTTGTTATGCTTTCAGTATTTCTAATAATTTCTGGTGTTTGAATGTTACATAAATATTCAAGAAATTCCTGTCTTTCTACAACGTCATGCTCTGATTTATACTTCTGAATAACATCTGGCAACAGTACTTGATTGTTATTGATATCATTTTCACTATCACTTTCATCAGACGGAGGCTCCATGGTGTAAGTTAATACTGAACCATGTTTCTTGCAGACTTTGTACAAAGATTTCATTAAATTGTCTCTGTAAGGCTTTAGATGCAAATCAATAGCATTATCAGAAAAAGGCTGATAACTATCACGGATATCTTTCTTACCAAAGTCGATATTTTGTGTTGTTACAGGGTTAGATGCCTGCCTCGGTCGATCCCATTTGCATGGAGTGTCAGTGCATACTTCAGTGCCTCTGTCTTGGTGCCTTTCACTGAAGTCATGCAATGCAAACAACAATGCTACACAGTGCTTGCAACTTCCATCATCTCTGGAAAAATAAATAAAAGCTAGCTTTTTATTCACTTTGAATTAATATATTAAATTTTACAATGTACATGGCAGGTCTAATACAATGTATATGTGTGCTTACATTAGCCTTGATAAAAAAAAAATCTATGTAAAAAAAAATACTATTCATTGAAAAATTTATTTGATTAATACTTAATCCTTAGCCCTTCAACTTGGATTAAATTAATATTATACTAACATCAGGAGTGTGTTCAAGATTGTGGCAACTAGCCTACCACGTAGACTAGATTCTAGTTCTATTTAACTAACTCTAAATAAACTCTGTGTAACCTCTATGCAGGGACAACTTGGATGTTCATATAAGTGTTTAACATCAAAAAACAGATCAGTTGTGTTTTATCATGACATGTACATAAGCATTATGATTTCTGTTTATCATTGCTTATGAGTACATGTATGTATATGATGTGTTGACCCAAAGGGACCCTTAGAGTATTTAATTATTTTATTTAAAAAATCTAAACCTCTGCTGTATGAATAAGATGCATCTCCATTCCGAAAATTATTGAAAGAATCCCCACCCCACAAAGCAAATTATGAAAAGTATATGTACATATACTCACGCCACACACGTACAGCCACCAGATTTCACAGAACCATTTTTATGTAAGAGTATCCATGTCTCGCAAGGCTTCTCTGATTGCCTTGTCTCTGGCACGCAGGTACTCTTAACATACATGTATCCATGTGCAACAGTGGCCATCGCAACTTTGTCAATGTGGTTGGTTTGAATGAGTTATCATCTTTGTAAGACTTCAGTCTGTTTGCACTCCAGTCACAGTAAGTCATCAAATACGCCATTACATCACCCATTTCAATTTTTGGCAAAGTTTGTAAATCAACCTTCCAATCAGAAAGTCCACTAACATCAGGTAAAATAAAAGTCGTAATATTTTCATCGGTACGGACCTCCACCGTTCTCCTTTGCTGATCGTGGTAGCGTTTATTATCCATGGCACATTCTTCCGGCTCAATTTCCATTGCGGTTGCAGCTTCTGCCAATCTTAGTAGTTGTTGTTTTCGATAAATTGATGTTTGAATACCTCTTTCTTTCAAAAAATCACGGAGCTGGGGAACCGATTTAAGACGAAGCTGTTCCGCCGCCATTTTGTCCAAATTATGCCTAGATTTTTGTTACGTGGTGATGAAAGTCACATGTCACATTTACTTAGTGCAGACATCCCAGAAACGAAGTATTATTACTATTATTATTATTATTATTATATATATATATATATATATATATATATATATATATATATATATATATATATATATATATATATATATATTAAAAAAAGAAAAATAGAAGTTCATAATAAATATACACTCTTACCTGTACATTTGTTGCCGATTCGGTCTCGAATAACTGGATTGGTGTGAGGTGGCCAGTCAATCTTCACTATTTTCACATCGCACGAAAAGAGAGTCATTTCTCGCATATTCGGATTTCCTCGAATAATTACACACGGTCGTGAAGAAATACATCTGTAAACTCCCTTTGTGGGTAAACATACATTGCTGCTGCGGCAAAACTCCAAATTGAAAATGTTCAATAAAAACAATACCCAGCACGTCCATACTTTGGAGTCCATTTTCACTAGTGTGGCGGTTGGCGCTAATTGTGCACGTGTGGTTTGATCATCTGACGGGTTACAATAGGCCAATACGGGTCACATGATTAAAAATTAACTTGATGTTTGATCATCTGACGGGTTACAATAGGCCAATACGGGTCACATGATTAAAAATTAACTTGATGAATGATAAAACAATTGGTGCTGGTATCATAATGACTTCTTTCAGTTGTTTAAATAATAGTCCCATTGTATGTGTACGCAATAACACACAAACAAAAATAAAAAAAAAAAAACAAGAGCACCGCTAAGCGGAGCAACTCCTCGCGGTAGGAACTTCACCGGTAATGGCAATGTCTCCAAACGAGAGAAAAATTCTCAAGAGGGACTTTAATGAAGATACAATCATCTAGTTAAGTTTAAAATAAGGTAACGAAAATAAAATATGTTGCAGCACTAATTATTTTTAAAAAAAATCTTCGGGGGAGGGGGGGGGTCATTTTTAAACCAAAGTACATAGCATCGGGGGGGGGGGGGGGAGGGGGGATAACATGCATACGTAACTGGGCAGTTTCCCTTATTCCTAGCAGAAACATATCACGTATGCTCTAAGTTTCAGTAATTTACCTTCCTACTCCTAGGTATATCTCAAAGTTGCATGCTATATGCATAAAATCTGAGAATACCCACGGAGACAATATTTTTTCGTAATAAAAATGACAATATACCGCTGTTGAGAGGTCACTGAAACCAAAGACCTAAACTTGCAAAATGTCTTTATAGCTTTCAGGAATTACGTGTGCCTCACGAATAAATTCCATGTTGTAAACATACACCTGTGGAAATTTGGTAATGAAACCGCGACGTTCATCAAATTATTTCAATTACTCAGCATCCGAGATGAAACTTAATTCATACAGACTGTCTCAAGATACGCACAATAATATGACAATACGCAAAAATTTAATACACTTGGGTGAACTTACTGAAGTGAGTCTATCGAAGCGACCCCAATTTCCCAACTAGTTGCGCGAGGGGATAATAATGGTATATTATATGGAGTGATGAAAAAAATTTTGAATTAAAAGTTTATGTTAGGTCATTTGTGCATATACATGTATGTCATCGGGTTCAGATCAGGTTATCCCACTTTACCTCTCATGTCTAATTTGATAAACGTGAAAATTAAAAACAAAGTCAAATAAATAAATTGATTAAAAAGTCCGATATCACACTCAGAAGAAAAAAAAATAAATAAAAACAATACCTTAGTGTAATTATATTTTACTTGTTTCTATACGAAATTTATTAAAAGTCGAGTTACAGGTGGATAAAGTTCACAATGCACCGGGTCATGTCGGGACATGTTGGAATATCTTTACGTAGGTGTGAAATTAAAATATTCAGCACTCTTCACCCACTGCACAATGAGGTCAGGTTATGTTGCAATACCCGTGCACAGGTTCTCATTACGCAGGTATGTCACGGTCTAGAGTGGCACTTTTAAAAAGGAATTTCAACACCGTTTAATCATCGTCTGATGAACAGGCACATGACGTTAGCCCCATTATCTACCCCACGTCTCAACCTTTCACACTCAATTAGGAGGGAAAACGTGTTTTAGAGGGTGTGTGTCTGATCATATCTCCATCAAATCATGATGTTCTGTCTTTTCTCCTATCCCATGTAATTTTTGAAATGACATATAAATAGAGAGTCGCAACAAACTGGATTATCATTGACCGAAAAAAAAAAAAAACAACCCAGTGACAATGGCAGAAGAATTCTGACTCTCTGTAAGTAAAATAGATTTTCTTTAAATTTTTTAAACATTGGTTGAAATCTTTAAGTAATTTGAGTTGCAATGTTGGAAGGCTTTTTTTTTTCATTTATG